GGGGGGCATGCGGCGGTACGAGCCGCATTAATGGTACTAGGAAGAGGCAGTTATTCTGAGGTGTAGAACAATAGGTGCCTGCCTATGCATTGCTATGGGAAGCCCCAAAAAGGTGAGAGTTCATTTTTCAAAGTCCCATTTTTCATCATGTTATTTATATATTTATAAATGTCAGAGTTTCAAACTAAAATTCATTTGTCCCTACACTGTTAAATAAAGTTAACATATAGTGTTTCGTCATGCTTCTGACAATCTGGTCTGATATGTTAATTTGTTTACTCGAATAGTTTGCAAACTAAATATTTAGGCTAAATAAACCTAATATTTAAATTAAATATTATTTAGTTAAGAAGCTTCATATTTAGTTTTTTTTTAAATAAATATTTATTTACTAAAAGTTCAAGTTTCAAACTAAGCATGTAAACATTTTAAAACTAAATATTTATATCCAAATTAAATATTTATTTTTGCCAAGTAAATATGTAGTTCCAAATTAAATTTTAATTTTGATAACTAAATATTTAGTTTCAAACTATATATTTATTGTCCAAACTAAACATTTAAATTCCAAACTAAACATTTAATTTTCAATCTAAGCATTTAGACTTCAACTTATTTTGTCATTGCTCAAAGACACGAAAGTGAATTTGGCAACAAAATGTCATTGCTTAGCTACCAGAGTACACAGAAAATATATTGAAAAACTATAAACTTTTAAAAAATTAATATTAATATTATATTGGTAACTAAATAAGGTTTAGTTATCTCTGAGCTAAACAAATTACTAAATCTGTTTAGTTATTGGTTTAGTTATAAACCTAGAAACTAAAAGTCCCATTTTCATCAGTATGTAAATATTGAGCTCGGACCTCGATATTTAAATACGAACTAATTATGTGCAAATTTGCTTACCGATAAGCGGAACTGGAATATCACAATAAAAGCTGGGTTTTGCGGACCTCTATATAAACTTTGCTGATCGCGGTACTGAATCGCTCCAGTCGTCGCTCAACTAACGTTTTTCTATATATAGAATCTGTTCTTTCCCTCTTTACATGTCCAAATTGTAATTTAAAAACATAGGACGTACCGTTTTAGCGGTTATAGAGACGTTTAGTCATGTTTCTATAGCAACAGTTTCTGCATCGACGGAAGACTTCCGGTTCATGTTTGATTCAGTCTTTAACTGCGTAGAGCTGCTAACACTTTTTTTTTTTTTTTTTTTTAAACAAACAATATAATTACTTTTCATAGAAATCATTTTTGTTTTACGAATGAATAAACAGGAAGTCTTAAAAAGGTTGATAGGTCTAAAACGAACTTTGTTCAAATATTTTGGCCAGAATGAAAGTGCTAAGTATTGTTTATTGAAATTAAAGATGAAAGAATGTTTTTTTTTTTCATATTTTAATTCTTATAATTTGTTTTGTTCGATTTGATTCTGACTTCAGATATTCTTCATAAACTGTCAGTTTTTTTAAATATTTTTTTTTACATGATTTTGTCCAAATCTTAAAGACATCCTTGGTCTTATTCAGATCTCTGCACTGCAGCCAGACTTGGGTAGAATATACAAACATTAAATAAATTATGGATGTTGTCAAGATATATGAACTTGAAAATGAAGGAAAAGGTATTTGGACCCAAAACGCTTTAAGCTAGTTGGAGTGTTT